ATGCCCCTTCTCTGTCTCAGTTTGGCTATAACAAGGGCAAATGTCACAAGTCTGTATCAGGATTTGGGGATTGCCATTGTCAGTTTCCCATCTGCAAAATGGGAACAACAATACTCCCTCTGACCATCTGGTCTATTTAGAATGTAAGGTTTTTGGGGCATGGATTGTCTCTCACTATGTACCTGTACAATGCCTAGCACACTGGGGCCCTAATCTTGATTGGGACCTCTAGGTACGAGGGTAATACAACCAATGAGTAATCCTCTTCCTCCTGCTTTGGTCAATAACACATAGGATTAAAGTTTTCCTTTTACAAACATTCTGGGACAAATTTACTCTCCCCAGAGCAGAAGGCCACTCTCCGAGTCCCTTGTGCACACAGGATATTTATACTAGAAGTGGGAGTCGTCAGGGAAGGGCAAGTGAGATGTAACAAATACGATTGCCAAGGAGCCCTAGGTTAGAGTCTGCCTGGGCTATGAGATGAATGAGCACATATGCTCTCAGTTTGGCCCTGCCTTCTTTTGGGACAGCAATAGCTGGCTCCAGACCACCCCTCGGACAGACCAAGGGCTACAGGTAACTCATTCCAGGCAGACAACCTGCCTCTGGGCTTGCAGCCTACGTTCCAACAGCAAAATCTGGCAGGACCCAGGAGGTGAAAGAAGTCCATGACCTATTCAGCACAGGACAAAATGCAGTTATACAACGCAGGGCAAAAAAATAAAATAAAAGCTCGTAAGTTTTCCCACCATTATTTTTAACATTAATTTTGTGGTTTGTTTTGCAAAGTCTTGGTTGCACTTAACATTTCACTTTTTGCCAAAAATGTAGCAGAAAACTTTGCTACAAGATTTTCACATTTTGATACAAAATTTCTGGAAGTGACTCAGCCGACAGGGGTAGAGAGAGAGAGACAGAGAGAGAGAGGGAGGTCTACACTTACCTCCGGGTCCGGCGGTAAGCAATCGATCTTCTGGGATCGATTTATCGCGTCTTGTCTAGACGTGATAAATCGATCCCGGAAGTGCTCGCCTTCAACGCCGGTACTCCAGCTCGGCGAGAGGAGTACGCGGCATCGACGGGGGAGCCTGCCTGCCGTGTCTGGACCAGCGGTAAGTTCGAACTAAGGTACTTCGAATTCAGCTACGTTATTAACGTAGCTGAATTTGCGTACCTTAGTTCAAAGTGGGGGGTTAGTGTGGACCAGGCTACACACACACACACACACACACACACACACACACACACACACACG